GCGCAGTGTAGGTCAGACTCATCTACAGTCCTGCCAAATTTCATGTTGACCGGTGCAACCGTTTTTGTGCTAAGGTTGACAAAAATCATCAAAGAGAAAAAAAAACAGCACGACAACAATATGACTCCCGCTTAAGTTTCGCGTGTGGGGGTCATAATTTTCAGGAGAGTATGAATGCCTTTCATTTGGTTTATTTTAGCTGTAACCTACAAGAAGCTCCCAGCTCAGAGCCCAAGTGTTTGCACWGAAAAAGTAGGAAAACAGCTCTATGTGTGGTACATGAAGTTGCACAGGTTTGATATACAAAAACAAGTTCACAGGTTTATTAYGCAAGGACAGGTTTCTTTAGATATGAAGGCAAATAACAGTGCATTCTTATTTTACATGYAACTTAAACCATTTCCAGTTTAAGAAGTAGCTGGAAAGTGTTCTGCATCAGTTTATGTGCACACATTGTAAGCACACTGTGAGTTCATCATTTAAGTTTAAGTAAAGTTTGAACCTGATTTTTTTATACCAAAAAAAAGTTCTAAATCATAGTAGACAGTGTAAACATATTTTACAAGGATTCTGTGTGAAAGATGTGTGCRTTCTACTGGTCAGCAATCACCTCCTTGGGACGTCTGAGTGTAAGACTCKGTTGAAATTCTCTRTAGTTTGATGCAAATCACTTTTAATTCAAAGTTCATTTTGAGAAAATGTTTATAGCTTTATTATGAATCATAGAATGCTTCATTTTAACAGTTAAAGCAAAACATATTCAGATGATCCTGACTACTTAATTTTCTCTTTTTTTTGCTGTTAGGATCCAACAATATGCATACACACAGACAAAAAGCAGTATTAGTRCAGCAGTACAGCAGCAATTCAATGCAGTTTTATATGCATTGAATACATCAGAGCTGCAGTAAAATACGACAAACTTTCACAAATGTCAAAAGCGAGAAATCCAAAGGGACATGCCATCTGAGACCAGTATAGAGTGKACTTTGCCCAAAGATTCTCAACTCTCTCCTCATAGATTCATGTTTTTTTGATCAGGAAATGAGAATATCATTGAAAAAGACTAACAGAATAAACTAATTCTAAATAATGCTTTTCTCTATTTTATGCCAATGCATCAAACTATCGTTTAAAAGTGATTTACATTTCAGTGACAGAATAATTACAGTATCATCATGTTAACAATGTCTTCAGAGTGCTCTATAAAGGCGTACTGTTTTGGTTTTCATTTCTGAGTCTGTTTTTATCAATAAACCATAGTGGTGTGCTTCAAGCCAAAGAGAAAAATGACTTTTTCAGGGATGTCCTGCTTGTTTCAGCTAAACAATGCCAAGCCACATTCCGCGCATTATAACAGCGTGGCTTCATTGTAAAAGATGCAGGNGGTTTCATACACAAAAACAAATTTAGAAATTAGTTAGAAATTATAATTAAAACTGCATTTTAAACATTAATTGATTTATTTCACGGCCATTTAAAGTCATTTTAATTACGTTCAATGACAGTAATGCAGTAATTTAAAGAATTGTAGGTAGGTCTTAAAGCTGGTTGGTTTATCTCCATGAAGTAAAGTATACAGCATGGAGCTGACTCTTCTGAAATATGACAAAAAAGAGCTGAAACAGTAAAGACAGAAGATAAAAGTAATCATCAAACATGCCATGTTATCCCTCAGTATTAATTGTTATAACATAAACTTTAACTTTTTGTTACAAAAAAATTAAAAATGGATTTTATAAAAATGCAGTGGACAGTTTGAATGTGTCTGTTGCTACTAGATGTTATCACAAGTAACTCTGCAGACACAAGGACCCAGCATCCTACAGATGTTGTACCAGGGTATTTATTACAAACAGAGAACCAGAAGCTCATTATTGACTGTAGTAAATCAACATGGAGACAAAGTGTTTTACACAAGCTGCTTTGTTTTTGGCATTTTGTTTATTTATGCCATCAAACTCATTTTGGCAAAAACCTGGTAAGTTTTTTTTTTTCTGTCTCCATGTGTATAATCTTTCTTTATCAAATCTGCTTTTTTGTTGTTGTTTCATCAACCTGGAAACTAGATGCCAACTTTTATATTAAACCAACATTTGTCTAAAACCAGGTATCTGTCCAAGAGTGTTTAACCCTCTCCTGCCTGTACCACCGTGTGTCTATGACATAGAATGTCCTGGAGAGGAAAAATGCTGTCAGTTTGAATATGGATCTGTCTGTGCCCCTCCTATTACAAGTGAGAGTCACAATATTACCAAAGTACTGTGGCAGTTCATTCATTCATTCATTGGTTAAATCTTGTAAGTGATAAAAGAAAGTTTTGTAAAAACCACTTCTAGACAGGATTTAAGGTAAGCGCCAGTGGTGTGCAACCCCCATTCCAATGAATTTGGAACGTTATGTAAAACAGGATACAATGATTTGCAAACCATTTTCAATCAAAGATTTGGAAACTGAGGAGTGCTCAAAAAACACCAATGTCAGGGTTATTCAGCTAAATTGCTCCGGGGGCCACAGTTATTGCAGGCCAACAGCTGAGGGGCCAAACATCCAGCAATTAAAGTCATTATATAATCAAGTATTACAAAGATCTGTTACTTTTGAAATAGCTTATTTTGCTGCATTTAATCATGAATACAACATTCAGAACCCTATAAAAGTATTGATAATTAAACAATATCAAAAACTAAATTAAAACATTATGCCTCATATTTAAAGGGATCCACAACTAGTTGTAACACTAGACTTTATTTGATAAACATATATTTTAACTGTAAAATAAAAACTGTAAAAACACTGTAGGCTGTTGAGTTTTGTAAATTTTTAAAAATATATTTTAACATGGACTGAGCCATTTTATTTACACACAAAGTATACTGGGTAAATGATGACATAGACTAGGTCATTGGTGCGAGGCTGCTAGCGAGCTATATCCACCCTGAAGGTTAATCTTGGACAATATCTGATGATCGGCTAATTTAAATGAAACCAGAGAGCGTTGACAGAGAGAAGAAGGTAGAAACCACTCAGCCTGCAACTGAAAATATGGATGGAGGACAGCAGAGCTGCTTCATGAAGGAAGAACCTCAGCTTAGCCTGTTAGCTTTAGCGTTAGCGCCAACACTATATTGCCACATATGCGTTAGCTCGGTGCTTGCGCGACAAACTACCAAGCTAAACTGAGATCCTCCATCCACATTTGGATCCCTTTAACACAAATATTATTTTGACATCACTGACTTTCCAAATTTTTTAACCAATTTTATTTTCACTTTCATAGTTTTATCTTCAACTGTAATTTTAACTATTTTGAATGTACATAGAAATGGTTTTTACCAGCTTCTAGCCACGATTCTGATGTTTCTGTAGATACCAAACATGTCTTTGTCTAGCTAAATGAACTTATGGTTTGGGCTTAAGAGATGAATGAACCAATTGGCGGGCCAATCTTTGGTCCCTCGCGGGCCGGATGTGGACCACAGGCCACCAGTTGAATAGCCCCGACCTATGTGGAACATTCCCCAAGTGAACAGGTTAATTGGAAAAAGGAAAGTGTCATGATTGGGTATAAGGGAGCAACCCAAAAAGGCTGTCATTCATAGGCAAGGATGCTGTGAGGTTCACTGAACAACTACGTAAGCAAATAGTCCAACAGTTTAAGAAAATTTCTCAACACCCAATTGCAAAGAATTTTAGGATTTCATCATTTAGAGTACATAATATCATCAAAAGATTCATAAAATCTGGACAAATCTCTGCAAATAAGCTAACATTAAATGACCGTGACCTTTGACCCCTCAGGCAGCACTGCATTAAAAACAGACATCATTCTGTAACAGATATTACCACATGGGCTCAGGAACACTTCAGAAAACCATTGCCAGTGAACACAGTTCATTTCTACATCTACAAGTGCAAGTTAAAACTCTTATCATGAAAAGATAAAGCCGTATATCAACAACACCCAGAAACACAGCCAGCTTCTCTGGACCTGAGCTCATCTGAGATGGACTGATGCAAAGTGGAAAAGTGTCCTGTGGTCTGACAAGTCCACATTTCAAATTGCTTTTGGAAATCATGGATGTGGTGTGCTCCAAGCCAAAGAGAAAAAGGACTTTTTCAGGGATGTCCTGCTTGTTTCAGCTAAACAATGCCAAGCCACATTCCGCGCATTATAACAGCGTGGCTTCATTGTAAAAGATGCAGGTACCAGACTGGCCTGCCTGCAGTCCAGACCTGTCGCTCACTGATAATGTGTGGCGCACTATGAAGCACAAAATACGACAACGGAGACCCCAGACTGTTGAGCAACTGAAGAAGTTCATCCAGCAAGAATGGGAAAGAATTCCACCTACAAAGCTTCAACAATTAGTGTCCTCAGTTCCCAAATGCTTATTGAGTGTTGTTAAAAAGAAAGGTGAAATAACACATTGGTAAACACGCCCGTCTTCCAGTGTTTTTGGAACGTGTTGCAGGCATCAAATTCAAAATCAGTGAATATTAGCAAAAAAAACAAACAAACAAACAAACTATAAAGCTCATCCATTTGAACATTAAATATCTTGTTTTTGTAGTGTATTCAATTGAATATATGTCGAAAAGAATTGGAAATCATCGTATTCCCTTTTTATGCTTAACACAACATCACAACTTCATTAGAATTGGGGTTATTTTATTAAAATATTTTTAAAAACTGTTTTCTTTTTGAAGTTCTTTTTTCTCTCTGTCCTTGAAGTTAAGCCAGGATGTCCAGAACCAGGAAYAGGGACATGTATTCATGAGTGCTCTACAGACAGGGATTGTCCATACCTTCAGAAATGCTGCTTCAACGGCTGTGGATATGTGTGCTATGGACCAAAAGGTGAGATGTGAAAAAGATGGCAATATTTCTCAATTATTATCYCACTGTAGCTATAGGCATGAACATACTGACTGTTTTTGTGCTGGGTGTTTCAGTAAAGCCAGACATGGTGGTCCAAGGTGGTTCACCCCAAACTGTTGTGAGTTCTGCCAAGATGATTATGACTGCCCAGGATACAAGAAGTGCTGTCAGACAACATGCGGCCTCTCCTGCACACACTGACTCGAGGYGCAAATACTGAGCCGTATCCAGATGTGCACATTAAGTTTTCCGAAGAAAAATGTACTGATTAAAAATGTTGAGTTAATTGTGTTTCTGCCTTACCTTTCTTTTATTTTAACACATTTTTACTAAGTTTGAAGGCTGTTTAAGATGATGTTTTTGCACTGGAAACATTAGACTTCAAGGTTGTTTTTTTGCAAGATGTTGACCAAACTGTTCTTACAGCAGTGTGTCTGCAAAAGGAAGTTTTATTTGTCCCCCAGGCGATATCTCAATGAGAAATAATTTAACTTCTTAATAAATACCTTTAGAAAATCACCCACTTTCATATCCTTCATAAAGACAGTGACAACCTAAAATTACATTGTCCTAAAGTGCAAATTCAGCTTCATTTGYCAACAGAGCCTTGTCCTAAAAGTCCAACATCAAGGTCATTTTAAAAAAAAAAATCTCGGAGACCTTATAGCATTAAAATGATAACTAATATTMAAATAACTACGTTTATTTGTTTGTTTTTGCTGATAAACAGACAMGTTTTTAAAAACTTATCCTATTCCTCCTCTGAAACCAGGCCAAGTGTCTTTAACACCCTCCTGCCAGCACCACCATGTGAGTGGGACACAGAATGCCATGGWCTACCAAGATGGTCAGTTTTATTGCTCTGACACTTGTGGATATGAGTGCATGAAGCCATTACCAGGTTAAGGTGGCAAATRTCCTGCCTTACTCTTCCCAAACTGCTGCTAGGTATGAACAGGCAAAATTTTTTTGTGTTGTGTGTTTCAGAGATGCAACAAAAGTCATTGTTTCATYGAGAAGAATGTCCAAATAGATGTGGACATTTCTGTGAATACCCTTTTYATCCTTGAGAAACCCACCAAGCTGCACTTCACATCCCAGTGTGTACTTCTTTGATTTCTTTAATTCAAATGTAGCAATGACAAAGTGTAAAAAATTACTTGTCTTTCTGCTTCATTGCCTTTTTTTTCCTTGTGGAGTACAGAGCTCACTGTCTGGGTTAGTTTCATGACTGGACATTGATAACTTTCTCTTTTATGATTATTCACATCATATGAAACAGCTTGATCAATAAAATGTTTTGTGTGCCTGCTAGAAATTAGCCCTAACCCACACCAACATACTGGATGTAAAAATGCAGCTGCATTTACCTAAATGGAAATCTTCAAACTACTGTACCAATGAGCAGTAAAATGAGCTGCATCCATAGCTCTGTAGAAATTATTTTTGTAATCTCTTACACTTCCTTTAACTTCTTTAAGCATGTCTAAAATATACCAGTTATGAGAATTTTSAGTGTTTGCACTTCATTATGTTCACAGATCAGTAAAAATCACATTTTTGGGTTTCTAACTGGCCAATTCTGGTCATCAGACACTTGATTGATGCTTCCCTTATAAAACTTTTTCTAAACATGGTTCTCACTTCAACATACGTATCTCTTCATAAAAAATAGTATTACAAAAAAAACTCACTAATGAGAAAAAATTACCTAGCTGTTTAACAGAACAAAATTAAACCATCACTTTGTTTGTTTGCAGCTGTGGACACCTTCCTGTCGGCTGATCTGCTTCCAGCTAACCTAACAATGYGACAAATGTGGAGTGGTGCTTTATTGTTGGTTTATGCTCCAAATTGTTTACTGATTTTGTGCAAAAGTGAGAATGACTGACTAACCCCTTCAGCAAATATGACTTTCAAAAACATCAACCTGTCAGAAGCAAGGTCTATGTTGACACAAAAACGAAACTAAGTGAACTGATAATGACCAAATGAGCAGTGATTTAGAAAAGTGGCATTTTGTTGTCTGTAATCGGAAAATATGTATTTGAAGTTAAATGTTAATGTAATTACTGTCGAGATTATTGGGCTGATAAATTAATGTTATGCAAACTGTCTCAAAAGAAATGTTCACGTTTTTAACCTTTTAGTTTGCTAAAACCAATATAYTGTAAGAAAAAAATCAAGGTTTGGGTGTAAAAAAGTGTTACAAGACAGTATAAAACTGCTTTTAACTGGGAGGTTGTGTTCATAATTCAATGAGATGGATAAACAAAAATGTATTTTTTTAAAAACTTGTATTTTATTGTTGTTTTTGATGTTAGAAACTGCAGTTTTGGGTGGTGACTATACTGACAACAAATGTCATTCTGACAAAGTCACTGTGACAGAATGGGTCAGTTTATCTTATCTTTCCAGGACAGGAGACGACAAACAACARGTGAAAAACACATTACAAGTCCAAAGGTACCGATATTGCTGTTTGAGTTATTTGGGCTGCAGTTTATCATTGAATAAATTTCAGAAAGCAGACAAATATATTGGGTTTCTTAAAGTAACAGTAAACATTGAGTATCTGAATTTTAATCAAATAAAAAGGTGTTGTTTCAAACATCCACAAACCACTGAAGTGGTCAATAGAAATAATAGAAATGAATTTATTCATTTTCCTCATTCAAAAAGGGCCAATGTCTGCATTTTCTTCACAAGAATTTGATTTTAAAACCTTTAGTGTGAATAAAATCAAAAGTCCTCTTTTATTTGTTGAAAAAAAAAAAAAAAAACAACAACTTCAAGTTAGCTCATTTAATTACATCCTTACCAGTGCTTGACTCACTTTTCCCTGATCATCAAATGTTTTTGTCTTTTCGAAAGAGCTCACAAACGAAAGGTCAAGCAGCGAGCTCTGTTTTGCAGCCTCAGAGCGGCGGCACGCCCCTCATCTTGCGGATGATGTTTGCTATCCTCTTGGCCAGTCCTGGGTTGGGTTCTTCTATCTGGAAGCTTCGGGTCAGAAGGTTGTACAGGGAGCCGTAGCCCACAGCCACAACAGTGCACGTCAGGCAGATGACGTTGTACGGCATGCTGAAATCTGGAGTTGGCAGGTTGACCAGCAGGGGTTCTGTGTAGACACGCACAAAGTAGCTGGACTCCTCTTTGCAGGGAAAACTGTTGGAAGATGGTACAGCTGTGACTTCGCAGACTAAAAATACAAGAAAATCACATTGTTTTCCYMTCTTGAAGAAAAAGCAGACAAGCCTGCACTCACAAGCTGCTGAAGAGTGGTCGATCCTGAGTGTTGTTTGTATCCATGGCAACAGTGCTTGGAACAAGAGCACTTATGACGGAGGACCTAAATGTCACGAAATAACATTTTTTTATTGTTTGAACACCTAAAAGGGAGTTATTTAACAAAAAAACGACATTTAAGTACTTAAAATATAAAATCTCAAATGATATGCGAACATAAACTGTGCACACCCGACGTAAAAGCCGTGGTTGGGATCAGGGGTGTATTCTGTCCATTTAAGCAGAGCCCTCTCAAACTGCACTGTAACCTCGGTAACGGAGTGTGGAGGAAGCTGGACCAGCATCTCCAGTAGGTGGGGCCGCATGCGGTCCTTAGAAGGCTGGTAGTGGATGTAACCTGGTTAAAAATTAAAAAAAAGAGAGAGAGAAACTTGTCAATGTTTATACCTAAACAATGTATTGTTCCGACAAACTTTCCACTGTGACAGCGATTACTATAAAGTTTGATCAAACTGAACAGAAACTGTGATACGTGTGCGCCTCCATGTGGACAAACAATGCAGCTGCACGGAAACATGAAAGCAAAAATTGCAATAAACATTTTTTTTCTGTTGGTAATCAGGTCTCATGCTGATTTGTTGAAAGTATGCAATTAAAAAATTACAGAATTACATCACCTCTAAAGTTGGAGAAATAATTTTGAATCAAAAACAGACTTCTGACTAATTCTGTTTCAGAAATGTAAAAGCAAAGTTAGATGGATTACTGATCTTTTTTTTTTGTGTATCTAAAAAAAATTGACAGCAGTGTTACACATCCAACACTATTTGTAAAGAATTTCCCAATGAAGTCAATAGTACTTGTTTGACAAMATGAAATAAAAAATGTGCTGCTAAATGAGACAAATCATGCTTTTAAATCCTTCTTTTGACATTTAAATCATGCAGTTGGTGTCTATATAAAGTGGTCTGAATTCCTCCTTATTGTAACTCCACAAGCCCCTCTTTCACCCTTTTTTGAGGTGTGTCTCAGATCAACTCATTTTGATGCTGTCTCTTTAAATCAAAATGAGATGCTTCACGCCCAGTCCCTCTCCAGCTTCCAAAGCAGTCCATTCTAGTTTGATAAAGAGATTTACAACWATATAGCAGCGCAGAAACTTTATTTAGCAGTTAAATCAAAAGACRTCAACAAGGGAAGACTTGTCCATCAAGCCTTACATGTTGGAGCCAGAGTCTGACTCAGAGCCGGTGGAGAATGAAGACGAGGAAATTTTAGTTGGTAAGTCCAGACCTTGTTTAGAAGTTCCGTCACAAAAACTGTGATGCAATGGTTCAGAAACCATCTTAGAAAATAGATAAAACTGAAAAGATTGAAAAATATGACCCAAACAGAATATACATATACCTACACAGCATCGGAAGAGACTAAATTCAAACTTTCTGCACTCCTACAGACTCCAAGTGTATTAAAAAATGCATTTAACAGCTAAAAAAAGTGGATTTTGCGTGATATCTTCCATTTAAATCCAACCAATATAGGTGTAATTAGCTTAAAAATTTGTGTTCTAACACAGCTGCAAAAATAATGTTTGGTAAACAGAAAGCTTTAGTAAATTTGTTCAAACATTTGCCTGCTTAAAAAAACAAAAACTGAAGAACAGAACTCACTGGGCTTATTGTCTTTTCCCTTGCTGGTGACKGTGAGCGTGTGGATGTAGAGGCGTAGATACCAGGGTACCGAGTCCAGCAGCAACACTGGGAAAGACCTGAAGGGGTGATGGTTGTACATTAAGGTGTGAATCTCTCCTGTCTGCAGCCCATACCCAGCAACGTAACGCTCAGCGTGGAGCAAGGGGCGGAGCATGACACCTGCAGGCAGGAAATTAGAGACAAATTCTAACTTAAGTGGAAAAAATATGTGAAAAAAAATGAAGAAATGGGAYTTTAACAAAGCAGAACAGTCTGTTTCTTTTCTCTTGATGGAGAAGAGGTGATTAGATATAAAGTGAAAACTAGGCTACTTTTAGGAAACCATTTATGTTGYRYTTAKGKGTCACTCACCATCACTGGATTTCCAGCGGATCAGCAGGTTGAGGGAGCGAACAGTCCCGAAGGTGACCTGCTGGGTCAGATCGTACACAGAGAAGGTCCGTCTGTCCCCGAGCACCACGGCCTGGCTTACTAGCGGAGTGGCTGGGATAAGCTCAAACTGCTCCTCCTGCAAAAAAAACAAAAACAATAAAACCAGCTTTACTCAACTTAAAACTGCTGCAGAACTTCTCCATTTTTGTTTTCGGGTAATAAAACCTCAAAATGTTTCTCTCCTGTATGAATTAAAAAAAAAACTATAATCTCAATACTGCTTTGAACATTTTATTAGGATTAATCTTTTTCATTCTAGTAGTTGTATCTTGTAAAAATAATAATGAAAGCAGATGAGAAAATCCAACCTGAGTGTTTTCTGTGATGTCGATGTAGATTTTACTGGAGGARGCCAATGGGCAGGCTTCTGTCAAGGTCCGCGAGAACATCTTGAACAAAGACCACTCTTAAAAAAAATAATAATAAAGCTAATAAAATTAGAGAAGGATTTAAGGCCAGGGGGATTTGAACATGCAAGATTTGTCTTTTTACCCTACCTCGTTTGCCCTGTCCAGAGGTGTGCAGGTCAAAGACAACGTTCAGTGTCTGCCTCAGCTCCCAGGATGTGTCTTTACACAGAGAGTCCTGACACACTGGTCTTATGTGCACTGCCTGAGAATGAAAACTACTGTGGAAGAGTTTCTCTGACTTCAGCAGCACAGCGAGACCAGCCTGTAAATTCACACGGGTCACACAGAAAAAAAAAGAAGAAAAAACTAATGTTAGCAGGAATAATATTCAAATGAAACACAGATGGCTGAGACATACACACATAAAAGACATTTACCTTGGATCCACATGGCAACAGTTTCTTCCAAGGCGTCAAATTCTCAGTGCAGACAATTTCCCGTGGGAGGGTGGCATAGCGAAGAAAGCGATGGTCTGTCACTTACGTTTCAATGTGGAAAACAGAAATCACATATAAATATGCAACCTGGACAGGAGGCTGCCTCTGATTTCATTAATTCTCTGTTTCTCTTTTAAAAACAAAATGTAAATTCTGATTTAAATGTGGTAAAAACTTAAAGCTGATCATATCACTGGTGATTAGACTGAAGTGTTATAGTACCATTGGCTATCCCCAGTGGTTTGAAAGAGGCGCTGGGCTGAACWGTATTGGTGGAGTCAATGAAGTTCAGTGAAGCACAGAAGATGCCTGACAAAACGTTGGTCAGCTCCTTCCATGTGGCATCCACACTGACAAAGGTAGAGAAATGGGAGAAAAACAAAATAACTTACAGACACGACACACAGCAAAATAGTATAAACCAAACTGGATTCTAAAATGAAAACGTAGTTGTCACACTGGAGTTTTCAGAAGCATTTTCCATCAAAAAGGAATCTGTCATTTCAAATTAATGACTGCTGGAATGAAATAAGATCAAATTCTGATTCATCTGGTCTTTAGTTTAATTTCTGACTAGAAAAACAAAAATACTATGCCATTTAGTATTTTCTTTAAGGAAAATGTTTCATTTCCAGAAACCTGGCTCAGTTATCCACTTTGACTCTCGACGGCCACCAGAGGGCGGTACTCACTCTGTCACAGTGTCCTGGAACCAAACCCAGAGTTCGGCTCCTGGCGGAGACGGTAGATATGGCTGTCCCCACTGCATGGTCCTCCAGTAGCCCTGAGTGAAGGAGATGTGCAGCTCTCGTACAGAGAACTTGGAGATGACCTGACCCAGAGATTTTGGAAACAGCCGATAGTGGGACACTAGAAAAAAACGTAATGGCATTTATTAATTCAGATCAAGGTGCATGATACACTTCTGGACTATATTGTTAAAAAAAACAGTGAATATTAATTCATTTTTTCAAAAAACAGCAAAGAAGACYTTCATTGTAATTTCCAGATTCATTGTGACAGCAACCATTATGTACAGAAGATGCACAAAAAAATTAAAAAGCAAACACAAAAAAACAATGATTTACAAATAATCTGAACTCTTTATTCAAGTAAAATTTGTCCAAAGGCAACAAAAATTCCAATATATGGTTCTTAAAAACACATTATCACTATACTTGGGACTATTTTTAAAAATAAAGCTTATTTTAAGTGAACATGCAAGAGACTTTGTTGAGACTTTTACTCCACTCCGAACTCTACTATTGCACATCTGTGTTTCTTKTCTGCATTGTGACTCTTCATTTCACAGTTATTGGTCTGTTGAGATTGCTTTGCACTGAAAAAAGGCAATTTCTGAGTCCTGCTGTCAGATTCTGATTGTCTACGGTCTCTAAAATAAAGCACATCTTCTTCTATCCTTGCACAATTCTTTATATTTTTTATTATCAGTAGTCGTTTCATGGCTAGTCAGTGTTAATTTTTGTTTTGTGTGCACTATCTATAGTTTGTAAAGTAACTAGTATGTGAACCTCTGTACGGGCGCTGCTATGACACCTGAATTTCACCTCTGAGAGACAATAAAGGGTATTTCTATTCTATTCTCTACTGTCATGCTCACACATGCACAGTAGGAGACATTTTGCTAGATGATGAGCTCATAGCTATGAAGAGCAACGTGTTTCTAAACCTAAATAGACCCCTCAGGAAAAACAAAAACATTACTGATGTGAACGCTGCCCTCTTGAAGCACATTACTTCAACCCCGTCACACTTTTTTAAAGCGTGCTCATCTCAACATAGCAAAAAAAATCTGTTTAGATTCAACAAAAACGCCTGATGTTTTGGGGATTTATTACCACTTTTGCTTCCGTCCACATCGAATTACTTTTGGACCAGTAACATCTAGGGGTGTAAGAAAATATCGATTCATTGAAATATTGCAAAATTTCATTTCCCGATACTGTATCGATATTCTAAAGCCCTGTATCGATTTTTTTTATCAAGGTTTAAAATGTCAACTTTCCTGCCAGCTGTTCATTTTTATGTTGTAG